CCACCTACTTGTATATTTGAAATCCCCCATTAAAAATTTGTTTAAATGCCAGGCGCAGTGACTCACACTTGCAATCCCAGTGACCTGAGCAGGCTGAGACAGGAGGATGGCAAGTTCAAGGCCAACCTCAGCAACTGAATGAGACGTGATTCTGCAATCTGTAATTGGGGTATAAATGGGAGTTCATAACCCACTTGAATCTAATGTATGAAATATGATATGTCAAGAGCTTTGTAATGTTTTGAACAACCAATAATAAAAAAAAAAAAAGAAAAAGGGCTGTGAATGTAGCTCAGCGGTAAAGCTCCACACAGTTCAAACCCCAGCACCCTTAACCCCAAAAAAGTTAAAAAAAAAAAATGAAGACCAGTCAATCTAGGGAGCTGGTCAGCTGATGGCTTCTGAAGTGATGGTGCTAAAGAGCTTTCTAACCTCCTGGTCAACTGTAGGGGAAGGATTGGAATAGACTCCACAGAGAAGTCCACACAGCACAATGTGATTACAGTTACAAGTGTGCCTGTTCTGGGTTCCCAATGCCTTACTCTCTTCACCTGTTCTTCCACTTCCTATTGGGAGAAAGCAGCAGAATTCTACTACCAGGCACGTTGGTGTCAGTCTAAGAAAAGTGGAGACAATGTGACCTCAATGTATCTTGTGTAAAAATATCCACAGGGGTTGATTTTAGACATATAAAATCTAGTATTTGTTCATGTTGGAAAACTTGTAAGAAAATCTAAAAGTCAACTGYATCCCACCACCAAGAGAAAACCACTCAACATTTTGGCAAATCCAATGCCTATGTCCAGACAGATGCCCGCTCATATATTTATGTACATGCTTTCTCTCCTCAGAAACAGAGGATTGCTGGGAAATAGTCCCATGTAATCTGCTTATTAGTTTAAAAACTGTATAATAGCAATTTTATAACACCAGTATAAGGGTTATAACGGCCCATTAAAAGACGCTTTGATCTAGTGCTTCCAACTTTGCACAGGAGTTTAAGCCAAACATTAATATTGTTTTGACTTGAGACAGCTCAGTCTCAATGCTATTTGAGTCGATATATACTACTATTATATACTCTAGTTAGGAAATGTGATGTGACAATGGAAGTAGTTTGTYGTACTGGGGGAGAAGGGTGGTGGCAGTATTCTTACCAGAGAAATAATACCATCTTCCTTTTAAAAATATAGGTGTTGAGATTTTAGTTTTTTGTTTTGTCTTTAAGTTGTAAAAACTATGTATGAATTTTGTTCCAGACATCCAGTATTACAAAAAATAACACGTAAAATTTTCCTGCCTTCCTTCCATTCCATTCCACTTCTCAGAACTGGCTGTTGTTAGCAGTTGTACATCTGTTTATCAAACAATTATGAGGCTACTTTAAAATACATAAAATGTATAATCACATGTATATTCAATTTATGTACATATAAAGATATACAACTGTGCATGTATATACATGTAAACACAGTATACACACACCACACACAATGTACAAGATACACAAATATCAGGAAGATTTTTCTTTCTTTTTGAATATTTCCTTTTTCCCTGCCCCTGAAATAAAGACAGCTGTTACGAGATGCTACTGTTTTTTGCGTGACACACTAGATCAGACTATAGGTCCACCCACTCGAGCATAATATATGGGAGATGGCTCCAGAAAAGGAGTTAGGAGTAAAGATTTCCTCACTATCCATGGCTGTGTCCTCAAAACTTGAAAATACCTGGGCTTTCTTTAAACAATCTACTATGGATTCTTCTATGATTGACTCCAAATACTTTCCAGTTCTGACTGCCAGCTGAATCCATCTTGGAGACTCAGGTCCCTRGTATTCATGCATAAAGTCCTGAAGAATTCTTGTTCTATGAAAATACCTCCTTGAAACATGACTCTTGTTCTCATATTCTAGGAAAAAAATCTACAAACTACAGCCTAATGCCTGTTTTCCCAAACAAAGTTTTACTGGAACACAGTCATGCTCCTTTGTTTCCATACTGTCTATGGCTGCTTTCATAGAACAGCAGTAGAGCTGAGTAATTGCAATAGAGACTGTATATCCCACAAAGCCTAAAAGTTTTACTATCTGCCCCTTTGCACAAAAAGTTTGCTGATCCATATTCCAAGATAAGTTCAAAACACACTGTGTTTTCTCTATCAAAGATTGCTAAGGACTTGAATCACCCACCCCATAACCAGTGTGTTGGTCCAGGCTAAAGAGTCTGTTTTCTATTAAAAACAAATCAAAAGCAACTTGGCTTTGACAGTAGTAGTGGTGTGCAGGTAAACTTTGAACAATCTGCTCTCCAGGGGAAAAGAGCCCAGATTTGCAGCACTGGCCTATTTCCATGATGTAAGTGTTACTATTGTGGCTTATTTTAAGCTAAAAAAACTAAAAACAAAACAAAACAAAACAAACAAACAAAAAACCCCCTAAACATTAGAAGCAACCAAAGCCAACCTGTGAGTCTCACTGAATTTTTCAGGAGGCCAGCAAGATACATCATAAAATGAAGAATATGCACAAATAACTAGCTGCAGTAAACCACTGGTTATCTGGGACACCTGCTATCAATGGTCCAATTCCTTACTTTAAAGTCAAAGGCACTAAGGCCCAGAGAAGTATCTTCCACAAATCTGGCTCAGTGAGTAGCATTAAGTTGGAAGTAATTTCTCTATAATATAGAGTCTGGCTACCTCAAAGGGAGTTACCTCTTCAATAAAAGGGGAAAAGGCAAAGAAGTTGTTGCCAGGCACAAGTTCATAAACGTTGGTTTTTATCATCACCTTCACAGTGTGGGACTCTGGTTGCTTTAGGTCATGTTTTTGAAGCACACTTCTGATAGGACTATTGCTCTTCACATAGGGCCATGTTTTACTAATAGTCTGACAAATGATAATCCCAATTAACCAGCAGCTTCCTAAGCTATTAGAAAGATAGAGACTGCATCTTTTGCACTCATTACTTTTCTAGCTGGCACAGAACTGGAAATGTGGTAAATAGGTGGTCAACAAGTATCTACTGAAAGGATGAAGGACAGATACTCCACAATCAAAGTGGAGTCTTATTCAAAGAACCCAACATGTGCTCCAAGTTTAGATCACATTCTTTTCTCCCACCTGAGGACTGTGCATTTCTAAAGTACTGGCTGCAGTGTCCAAACTGCAGTGTCCATTGAAGCAGTACAAGCTCTTTGGGTAAAAGATACCTGAGTTAGAGAATTTTTTCCTTTGATTATACACTATATAGTCATATATGTATATAGTATATATGTATATAGTATATCTGTATACTATATATAGTATATATTTTCTATTTTAAATATGTGTTGTCAGAGGATGAAATCAAGGAAAGAATTCAGTGAAGGATCCCACCTACCACACACCAAAATGCTGGACAATTGCTTTCCAGTAGAGGCCAAGGAAGGACCATACACAGTGACTCACCTTTAAAAGTGAAAAGTGAAAGAACACCAAGATTGGTAAGCATATTCCAACAAACTCAAGGTTAATAACTACCCAAGTGCAAATAGAAATGAACACAAGGAAAGGAGGCAAGAGCATGTCTCTATTACTTTGGAAATAACTTCTCAACTACTTGGTAATTCTCACTGTAACCTCTACACACTTGGCATGGTCACCTCATTGGCACTTCTCTGAACCCACTGATCCTGTTTGCCACAACACAGCTGTAATCCTGATGCACACACAGGTCAGGTCTGCAGGCATAGAAGCAACCAAAGGCACCTGTGAATCTTGCTGAGTTTTTCAGGAGGCCTCCAAGATACATCATAAAATGAGAGGACCTAGTACTTGGTTTCAAAGAGAAGTCAAGCTTGATCCCACAAATCAGAGGTTAACCCTATCCATGGCATGTGGTGGGTTGTGCTCAAATTTAAGAAGAACCCCCAAACAAGAAGCAGGCCCAATGAATTAAGTCTTTAAAGCATTTCCTCCCCTCTGGTTCTAAAAATGTTGCAAGGTCTGCAAGTTCAAAACCACTTTCATAATAACACTAAGATGTTATTTGCTTTTATCATTTTCACATTCTCAGGAGTCCACTGTGGAGGTCTCCAGAAGTTACATGACATGTGATAGTGCAAGAGACTGAATAAAGCAGATACAAGAATCCAGTTTTCTTTTATTGAGCCAGACATTAAAAGAGATTTGCAGAAACGTAAAACAATGCCATTATTCTTGATAAGTTTCTGTTCTGGAAAATACAGGGGTTTTTTTTTCATAAAAAAATGTTAAGATATAACTGGTCTATTATTTTAAAATGTTATTAAATACTGTAAAAGGTTCTCGGTTTTAATTATATATGGCAAATATCAACCTATACAACCCACATAAACAAAGGTTCCTTATGATACTAATTTTTAAGAGGGTAAAGGATATCGAGTCCAAAAAAAGTTTGGAAACTTCTGTCCTAGAGATTGTCCCCTGCAAGAAGAGTTGTGTGTTCTGCACGTCGTAGGAAGACGTGCCATTCCGGTATGCTGATCAAGTAGGGAAGGCAGCTGGTCTCCTTAGAATTTGGGGTCCATTAGGGTGGGCTTTGTGTCCCACCCCTTCCAGAGGTCTTCCTCCCTCACCCCATTTCCTCTTGATGGGGATTCCCAGACCTGCCACACAAGCTCAGGGACAATGACCCGCCGTCCAGGCTCGGGACGGACTCCCGGGTGAGGCCCAAACACCCTGGGGTCAGGACTCCGCGCGGCCCGCACAGCCTCGCCGAGGGCTCCCGGGCAGCACGCGCTGCCAAAGCTAAGGACGGCAAGGAGAGGCACTCGAGTCTCCGTCGCGACAGAAACTGAGGGATGGCGGAGAGACCAGGTCCCCAGGAACACGTCCCCTCGGCCTCCCCCGAGCTCTGCCCGACTCCCCCGGGCCGCTCTGCCTCGCGCGCCGGGAAAAGGCCCTCACCAACTCCCGGGAGGACCCTGTGGCCAGCGTCCCCGCCGGGGGACGTCAATCGGGACGAATTGGTACTCACCAGGGACAGCACGGCGGGGCTCCGGCGACTAGCGAGCCGGGACAGAGCAGCGGGCGCACTCGCAAGCGGTCCCTACCACCGCCTCCGCGATCCTCCCCCGCCGCCCCCGGCCGCTGGCCGCCGGGAGGAGCAGGGGCGGGGCGGACGCCGGCCGGAACCAGCCCGGCCGCGGACGGGGCGGGGCTTCCACAGGGCCCCGCCCCGCCCCCCAGCGGCCCGGGAACTTCGCCCCGGGCGGGACTCTGGTTGCTAGAGATTGGCCGCCGAAAGTGGGGAGACGCGTCTTTCCACAGGGCTCGCTCGTGCCGGCCCTGGTCCCGGGGCTAGGGTGACGGTCGCTCTCGTTGGGGCCTAGGGTGTGACTGCTCAGCTCGCGCTAGGGCCGAAAAGAAATGCAGTTTTTTTTTTTTTTTTGTACTGGAGATCGAACTCAGGGGTGCTTAATCACTGAGCCACATCTTCTGCCCTTTTTATGTTTTTATTTTTAAAATAGAGTCTCGCTAGGTTGCTTAGGGCCTCGCTAAATTGCTGAGGCTGCTTTGAGTTTGCGTTCCTCCTGCCTCAGCCTCCGGAGCCGCTGGGATTACAGGTTTTGGGCGTCACGCCTGGCAAAGAAATGCAGCTTAAAAAAAATGATAATAAAATATTTTGCCTTAACTGGCAAAATATTTTATTATCATTTTTTTAAGGCTTCACTATCTGGCTGCTCCTGCATCTGATTATCTTGCTCTTCTTATCTCTTTGCCCTTCCCCCATTTCATCCTTCACCTCCCATCCGTACCCCTGCCTTGATTCTTTGCTCAAAGTATGCCAAGTGGGACTCTGGTTTAGGAATGCAACATTTCTAGTATGAATGTATTCTTTTCAACTTGTGACCACACTTCACTCCGTAATTCATGGTGTTCTCAGATCTGTAGGAAATGGCTTGGGCCTTCTCCAGACATGCTTTAGGTACTGGTTGGAGTTGTGCCCTGTAGGTAACTGTGAGTCAGAAAAGSGATTAAATCTTTGTAGGTGAAAGGTGGTGATGTTTTCTTGCCCAAATTATTTGGGAAAATCATTGTAGTTTTCTATCTGAATGAACAGCTAATAGTTAATACTATTAATAATGCCAACCACTATCAGCAATCATTTACTGCCTCCACTTGGCCCAAAGCCCTGTGGCTGGATCTTTACTAATGTCTATTCAACTCATTTCATGCTTCCAACCAGCTAGGAAGTGAAGACTTCAGAGCTGTGAAATGTGGCACAGCTGGATTCAGTCCTCTGACTTCCACAGCAGCATCTCCCCAAACAAGCTACATTGTAGGGCACACCTACCTGGTGATATTCAATTTTGAAAGGATGGGGGTGGTGTTACTGTATTTCCAATAGGAGAAGACAGTTTCTTTCACCCATTTCCCAAATCCCATCCTTTCATATTCATTGAACAAATTTTCCTTAAATGTTCACCATATGCTAGAGGTTTACCATAAAACCTGAAAAATAATAATGCTAGTGTCTCCTCAAAAGTTAAGGAGAGTATAGGGAAGGTGAGAGTGGATAGTAGGCTGTGGAGTAGGGCCAGAACATGTCCAGCTAAATTTTGATTTGTACTGAGGCAGCCCTTCAGAAAGCAGAATGTTTTAATGTTCAACACCAACGTACATATAACTGATAATCTTGACCCAAAGAAATMAAAACAGGGCCATAAAAGGAACGGAGATTAGTAAGCACCTTAGCCAAACCATGAAGGTAATATTTTTCACATCTCTCCACTCTTTGACATGTTATCAATGACATGCTGGTTGAGAATCCAGTGGCCTCCCTTCTGTTCTTGTTCTTCCTTCTGCTCTGTAGTATTCAGCAGCAGTGATTAATCCTTGAAATTTTAAACTCCTTTTAAATTTTCAGCTCTCTATTTTTATAATTCACCTCTCCCCYTTTTAATCCCTCTTTCTTTAGGCTCTTTCAGTATTATCTGTCTTCTCTTGCTTTTCCTGCCACTCTGCACACTGATGAGTTTTCCTTTGTCTATTTTCTCACCATGCAAACTCCTATCACTTCCAGCTGAAGCCTGCTATCCTTCATTGGTCTTACTTCTTCTGATCCTCACACTCTATTTCTAGCCATTTGTAGTATCACCACTTGGACATTCCAAAGGCGTCTGTCATTCATCACATCTAAAATGGAAAGTTATTATCCTCTAACCATCTGTCTGTCCTCTCCTAGCCATCCAGTTTCTTCCTCATTCTGAATCCTACATCTCGAGTTGGATCCCATAGTTTGTTCAGAAAGCTAAATACATGGATTRAGAAATACATCACTGTGCTCACACAGTATTTAAGTATTTCTGACATGGTACCAAAGGTTCTACTAGTGGCCYAACAGAGTGCATATACTTTATGGACCTTCTGAGAGGAAGCCAGTCAAACGTGATAACTACAAAAACAACAAAGATTCCGTTGGAGATTGTTAAGCTGAGGAGTGCCTCATTGTATTCCACACTGATTTTAGTTGTAGTCCTGTGTGGTTAAACATTGGGAATACATTCTCAAAATGCATCCTTAGGCACTTTTGTTGTGCAAACATCATAGAGTGTATTTACATGAACTAAGATGTCTACAAATGTCACTAGGTGATGTAATCTTTTGTGACCATCAGCCTGTTATTGACTGAGACATATGTGGTACATGACTGTACTTTTATAAACTGGACTTAGTTGATTAAAAGGTCTGAAGAACTATATCCCAACTGACTTTATATCATGATTTGCAATTGATGGTACACTTTCATACACATGGACTTAATAGAAAAGAAGTGGTATAAGAGAAAGACAAATCTAGCATAATGACTCAAACTTTGGAGTGCACTGAAAACATACATACTTTACTCTTTAGGCTGAGTTTGATGGAATCAATCAGAGACACACCGTATGAGAAATACTGGTGGTACTTCTCAGATTTTAGATGTTTCCCAGAATCATTAGAGGACACTTATTAAAAATACAGCTACCTGTATTCCCTATATCCTAGGATGTCTGATTTGTTAGAGTAGGGGCAGGATCTATGCTCAGATTCTGAGAAAGTTAAAATTTTACTACAGGAGATTCTGCTTTAGCATATCTGTAGATTGTCATCAGGGACCTGATACCTATAAATATAAACTCCATGAAGRTCAGAGGACCATGTCAGTTTGTTCATCATCCCCAACACAGAGCCTGGCACATAGTAGGTGCTCAATGCAGTTTTATCAATTCGGACTCACTGTGGGCTTCTTTGTTTTGTGTATTCTTTGGCTCTCTATTGGCCTGCATGTGGTTCAGGGTTCCTCCATGTGGTTCAGGGATCACAGAGGGATGACATTTGTTTGACAAGGAATGGAGAAGTATAATGTCATCCTGAACTTCTTGCTTGAAGGGACTCTAGGATCTCTGACATTTTMAATAATGTATATCTTTTTCATACCAGAGAAAGTTTGAAATGAATACTTTCTGTTCCTCTAAAACCAGAAAGCTATATTTATATAAAAAAAAGGCAAGTCTCAGTCTCCTCTTGGCCCCAACTCAGCCACATTTCCACATACTTAATTTCCCTTCTCTTTCTTAATGTTTAAGCATTAAAATATCCCTGGGTGGTTTCCCAGAGTCTTCTGGCCAGCTGCTTCTAGTTAAGCACCATTTCTCTCCAAATAGCCAATAATAAAACCCAAACCTTATTAAATGTCCCACTAAATCTTCACACCAACCATTTGAGGTTGGGAACATTACTGTTCATACATAGATAATAAAATTGAGGTTCACAGTAGTTACATCATTTGCTTCAGGTCGAAATTCCTGACTGATAATCCTGGGGTCTGAATGGAGGCTGATTTCACCCTAACCCTATACTTTTTAACTTTTAGACTCCTCTCACCCTATACTTTTGACTTTTAAGCAACAAAAGAGCTGGAAGTTAGAATATATATAATTTGTAGAAAAGAAGACTTAAATGTACTAGGAGAGAACACCAATCACCATATAGTCTAGACTAGAATTCCTCACTTATTTTCAGGGCCTATTTTCCCTGGTGATAGTAAGGACATCCCTGTAGCAGCCTTATAATTTGGGAGCACCCAGGTAAAAAAAATCTGGGGATGAAGGTGTTGGAAATCAGTATGAATTTCAGGATTTGCACATAAAATTAGATATCTAGCACCATCTTTCACATGTTATTTTGCTGTATAAGTTTTGAATGTGTTATTTATAATATATATATATGTGTGTGTGTGTGTGTGTGTGTGTGTGTGTGTGTGCGCGCGCGCGCGTGTGTGCATACATATATATTATTTTTTTTCCAGAGTAGAGAGGGGGAATCTGCAGGATTGATCTATTAATTTTTTTAGGTACAGAAAATGTAATTTTATGAGGTTGCTGATACTGATTTTCTTATTTTATTTCAATAAAATGATTGATAACTTTGACATATGAGAATGGGGGGAAATTTTGCTAATTCGTCCATAATTTGGCTCATTTCTTTTGCCAGTTTTTGAAGAGCTTTCTTTCATATATCAGTTTAAATCATTTTTAAAATGGAAAATCCTAGCTTTTGCACCATTTTCCTCCATTTTTGGTGGTAGGAAACAACAAAAAACATCAAGGTACATATGTCTATTCCCTGTTAAGCCTTCAAAGTATCTGAAAGACTAAATAAAGAAGATGATGGTCAGCTACTGCCCTCTGTTGATACAGTGTGAATTTGCAGTAAACACATTGCCAATTTCAAAGAGCAGAGAGGATGGTTAGGGTTAAGAGAGTGAATGCTAAGAAAACACTAATGGACTAAGAAATTTACTTGTGTCTTAATTTCATAGTTGCTGCACACCCTAGAAATTAAAGAGAAGAAACTTATTCGGTCAACAAACTGGCTTTGCTTGGTGTGAAGGGTGCAAAATCAAACATGATTAAATCAATTCCTTCTCTGAGGACCCTGAGGATTTATTGTTATTATTTTCCAGGAACTCCTTCAATATTGTTTTAATATTTATCCAAGACATTACAGCTTTTCTGGTGCGGGGTACTTGGGATTGAACTAGGGGAACTCAATCACTAAGCCACATCCCCAAACTTTTTTGTATATTATTTAGAGACAGGGTCTCACTGAGTTG